AGTTGGGTGGGCCACTAGCTTGTGCGGGCCACTAACTTGTGGATTACGTTAGCGTAATATCTATGACTAAGCCTCGAGCGAGTGTCCCTTCACGCCTTCGCGACCGTTCTGCTTACACGTCGCAATCTCGACAGGCCTTTCCCATCCATGGCTCGACTTTCAGAAAGCCAACTTCAAGCTATTAATGCTAATCCCATTAAAGATGAACTCGATTCCTTTCGCGATACGTCGACAAATACCCGTGCCAGCGATAAAGACGCGCCGAACTACATTGAGCAGCTGGTCACAAATTCCTGTGAGCGCCACCTTTGACATATTTACGCTATAGCTAATAAATGTAGCCGGAACAAATCTAGTGCTTAAATTTGTCGCAATTTTGCTGAACCTCCCGGTCGCTTCTGTCCTTACCTCGGAAAATAGGACGGGACCTTCTTAGCGGAGACCTTTTTAACCTTGGTTTACAGGTCACCTTAAACACTTTTAACGTTAGACAGGCTATTGAGCTTATGGAATCTGTTATTATTCGGGCTGAAGACACAAAAATATAGAGCACCGTGCTCGACCTTATTGCGCGAACAAGACCAACCCTCCATCCGACAACCCCTTCTTAATCCGCCGCGTCCTTCGCCACATTATTCCAACAGACACCTTAGTCCTTTAACACGGGCAGTTTCGCGGATATATTGGACTTAAGGAAGGACGTGGATCTAATCCTGAAGGGCGAACTGGAGGGTAATCTCACCGTCAACCACCCGCAGGTCTTCGACACAGTCTTTGGCGGAGTCCCATAGCTTAGTGAGATGGCCGCAGCTGTGTTTAAGCAATGCAAGGAAGCCGGAATACTATATACGGACAATATTGGCTGGGCGGAGTGGCCGGAGGATTGTGCGGAGCCCGAAGTGCTGCACTGGCTCCGTCACTATATTAACCAATTTCTCCAGTTTGCAGATGAATAAGGCTTCCAACCTCCAACGCGTCGGCGGTGCTTTGCCACACCGAACACGCCAATCCCAGGATCGGTCAGCAAACGGAAGCTGGACGTTGGCATCGTATATGGCTAGAGGGACGATGGTGCTCCCTGCGATTGGTGCGACGTCCTTGTCCCAGGGGAGCTGAAGAGTAACCCGCGAGAAGATAACCACAGCAGCACCTGGTTCGATCTATCTCGATATGCTCGGGAGATCTTTGCAGCGCAAAACACCCGACGATCTGTTACTGGCTTCACACTCTGCGGTTCTATCATGCAACTTTGGGTATTCGACCGACTTGGAGCGATTGCGTCGCAATCATTCAATATACACGAGAATGCGCTGATGTTTATATCCGCAGTTTTGGGATATCTATAGATGGCTTAAAAGGACCTCGGGTTTAATCCCACTATCTGCGGAGAAAAGAGCAGCAGGTACATTGAAATCACGCGGAATGCACAACCGGAGCGATATCATCTGGGCAATGTTATAAAGCGACAGCGTTATATAGCAGGCCGAGCAACCACCTGTTGGGAAGTCCATAATAAATCCGGCCAGGCTTTTGTTGTTAAAGACTCTTAGGAGTATAAAGAGCAACCGGAGGAGGGGCCTCTACTTAAGAAGGTAACAGATGCGGGCGTGATAAACGTGGCAGAGTACCACTATTACAAAACCGTTCATAATAAGGGTGCTGCTGTCGATGTCCGCAACAATTTGCGCAAAAGTCTGGGGGACAAAAGCGGAAGGCATCTACTTCTACAGGGGCACTAAAACTCCCAACTACTTGCAGACTTTCCTAAGCCCGAAGCTCCGGCATCAGAGAGGCTTATAAGCGGTCGAGGCAGAAGCAACAGCATTACGCGAAAGAGGCGCTCCAGCTTTTATCAGTCTATGCGACCTCCAAAGCGGTCATGCTTAGAGTCTCCTCAAGGGAATAGCTTGCGGCGAAACCGAGTTCATTGTCGGCTAATAACGGGACGTGTTGGGAAGAGTATATACAATGCGAGCTTGCTGGTAGCTATGATAAACGGGAACTTGGGGGGAATAAAAGGTCAGTTTGTTTAAACGGGCTTTCGACTCTAGCTAACTGTCTTAGGACACGAATTATTGCTGGAAAGACACGTCCTCTATTGCGATATATCGGTCGGAAATATTATGCTTAAGAAGGGCGAAGACGACGGTTTCTTGATTGACCTCGACCTTGCCATCGAAATCGACCGGAAAGAGGCATCGGGCGCGCCGAGTAAGACCGGCACTAAGGTGTTTACGGCGATTGGTGCACTTTACGGCGAACACCACAACTTTATGCACGATTTGGAGTCGTTCTTCTGGGTGCTGTTCTGGCTTTGCATACACTGGAACGGGCCTGACCAAAATAGGAGCAGAACGGAATATAAGTCTTGGAATTACAAGGACACAAAGGAACTTGCGGAAATCAAGAAAGGCAAAGTGCTTGAGCAGGACAAGTTTGATAAGGAAGTGGATGAGAATTTCACTCCACACTGTAGGCCGTTGATTCCTTGTGTACAAGCACTGCGCGATGTCGTGTTCCCAGGTGGGAAGCGGTGGCTGGAGGAAGACCGAGAGCTGTACGGTCGGATGAAGTCAATACTCGAAAAGGCAAGGGAGAACCTAACTCAGTTTTAGCGTAATACTAAGTTCCTGCAGTTTTAAGTGCAAACGAAGCTTAACAACTATATTCAAATGCATGCCCTCCTAGCTAGGCGACTACTCCAACTCTACTACGTATTTCCCGAACAGCACGATAGCATCTCAGACGAAGATTAGTTTCGTATTGACTGTCCGCTCACTTCAATTTTCGCACCTAACACAACGGCCGCCAGCGCTGCTCTACTCTGCTCTGCCGTTGCAGGGCGCCCTACAGCCACGCCCCAGCACCCCTCTCTGCACACTTTAGGGTGACGCTGTGCGCTGGCCAATGTCAGCCCGTACTACGGCGCTGCTGGATCCTCGCGCTTCGCCGCACCGCCTTCGCAGCTGGCCGCGCGCTAGTCCAAGGACTGCACCTAGCCTACCAACGTAGACGAGAGGGAAGGATTAACGTTGTTCAGTTTAATGGGAATCGCCCTATCCTCGCTGTAAGCACAATCTCAGAATGGAACAGGTATAGTGGTGTCCTATCCTGTTGCGAGAGTCGGCTTCCGAGAGGGTCTGTTGACTGCCGGTGGAGGAGACGATGGTGGAAGGAGGAGATGGGCAGCTACAAATAGAGGAGCGAGTTTAAGACTGGGTGCCGGAAACGGGATCCAAGGTCATCACAGGACCTGGCCGATCCGCTGCAGCCATAGGGTTGTGAGAGAGTGCCGCTTCACTAACTTAGGTGTTGTTTTCCACTGCTTAGGATTGCTGTCGAATTGGGGGTGTTGAGTATGGTACAGCCACCTCGTCGCCTGGTCTCCTCCGGCGAGTGCTCAGGATGCTCGCTCGGAAATGCAATGGAATCGACTGCAACGAATGTTAAAGTCTAACAATTAAGGCTCAGTCAAACACATGTAGGCTCAGCCATTATATCAGATTGGAGCTCGCTCCGAGGGATAGGTAGACCCGAACGCTAATAAAGAGGGCGTGCAGCAGTTCCCCGTCCCGTCACGTCTCGTCTCGTCCCGTCCCGCCCTATAAAGACCGCCGTATTCTACTAGACGGGGTTGTGGAAACAAATAGTATCTGTCTTACTCCCGCCTTAGGCTACAGCGACCCTCATCTTTCCGACCTCGTAAAAGCACGATCCACAACCATGGCCTACCAGATCAAGTACACGTCCACCCCAAGCACAGCCGGGAGTGCATCATCTGGTAATGCTCCAGGGAGCAATGTCCCGGCCTCAGGCGGAAACGCGCCAACGATCCTTCCTTCCTTAAGTGCCAGCGCTATATCTGCCAGCATCACCCATATCGTTGCGCTCGATGGGGGCGCGAACCAGGCTCGTTCCGAAGACAACACTTCCACATTCACAAAGATACGCGTCACTATTCATACCACTGGGCCATGGGCGGACTCTCCCCACAGCAACAATCATGTCACCACCTTCCTGATCCTGGATCAGGGTGGAGCGGTCCAGATCGACATGAGAACGGATAATGGGGACAGAAGGGGCCAGCTCTACTGGAAGCTTGTGACTTATGAGAATTCGTCATCGGAGATCAAGGCCTTTGATTATAGTCTCGGTGCTCCAGTGCCGGTCTACATTCTATATAGGGCGATCCGATATGAATGGAAACTTCACCAGTGTCTGTTCTTGTCTGGAGGCTCTGGATGTCACTATTGGAAGTACGGACATGCCCGCTGATTCGAGCTTTGCCGCTTCTTGCTAACTTAGTGAAGCTACGTCCTCTTGAGCAAAATAGCAGCGGATACGGCCAGATTTTCCTTTCATTCTGGCGTACCGGCCCATGCTTGGGGTGTTTTTGGGAAGTGGTATTCTCGTACTGGGGCCGAGAGACCGAACCAACCTATCCTTCAGGGAGAATTCCAGAGCTACGAGCAGTGGTACCAAGATTGGTTTGGCGAGGGCGAGGAAGAAGAAGACGACGACGACGGTGACGACGACAACAACGATGACGACGACGACAAAGACGAGTAGACTGGTGTTGGTGTTGGATGGAAGCATCGGAAAATTTTCAACATGGGATACAGGATTCTCTTGACAAGGTTGATTCGAGGCCGCCTTTCAATTATACGTGCTGCTCTGTGTCTTTTTCAACCCTTCTCCGCGTTCATCACTTGTTCCCTTTTGGTTTCTTCTCTTCCTTGAGGTAGGTACTCTTTTACTCTTCTCTGGAGGCTCCATTCCGGGCGGTAGTTGAGGCTTAAATTTTTGTGTTCGGCTAGTCTAATTAGTAGCTTACACTCCTTAGGAATAGCAATATACTTACTATATATATCTCTGCCCAAGATAGTAGGCTTTTTCCAGCAGCTGGGCCTGAGACTTCTCGCTCTCACTAAGTTCATTCAACCGCCTCAGGAGTTTGGAATTCCAGTCATCATCTTTTCGGATATTGATTTCTAAAGCACTCCGTTCAAACAGCCTTGGGTAAAAGCCAGCGGAGTTCCAGTCAACAAGGCAAAGAGAGCCATCATCCAATACCACAATATTTCGAGGAGCGATATCGAGATGACAGAAGACTAGCGGATAACCGGCTAGGTTAAGATGGGTTGAGTTTTTCAACTATCTTTTGTTGTAGTACTCCTCAATGTCTGATACGGTAGCAGGAGCGATTAGATCGTAGTCCAACCAAAGCTGGCCAAAGGCGAGGCCCTCGTGAAAAAGTCCAGGCTTGTCTTGTTGCACTTGTTCAAAATGTTTCAGGACCTTTGCCATTGGTTCCAAGTAGATGTCAGGATCTGTCACGGAGGAGACAGGCTGGCAGTTGATGTATTCCATTGTCAGGTAGCCGTTTAACCCACTGGTAAAGAAGCGATACACTTGGCCAATTCGTATAATTGCCGGATTGATAGTCTCATATGCTCGCTGTTGGTTTGTAGCCTCGAATTTGGTGACGCCGATTCCGCACTTGACAACTGCGTCTTCTGAAATCCTGATGACTGAAAGTCCTCCTTCCAGTTCGCTAATGACGTTTCGGTCCGGATTGGAACGCGAACAATGCTGAATAATTTCATCTTCGGTGGCCACGTCCCACCGAAGAGCCATAGTTGTGTTTTAGAGCGGAGTTGTGGGCAGATGCCGCTGTGCAGTGAGAAAGTGTGCAGGCGACTGCATAGCGAGCTAAAGAGGCGCAGTTCTTGGCATTGCAGGGTACCGGTGAACAATCATATGAACGGACCGCAACAAATTTTCCGCTCCTCAAGTGCTAAAATATGAAAGGTTCCGCACAGCCACATCAAGGTTTAGCGCAATATCCGTCAGCGGAAGCACTCCGTCTTCGCCAAATCCGTTATAATGAGCTACATAGATACCGCAGCACGGCCTCGACGGAACCAGCAATCCCCGCACTAAAGCCAGCGGCGCAGGGCGACGCTGCAGTTTCGGCGATTCCACCGAGTAAGCACGTGCATACCCACCAACCTTACTGGGCGAAAGTAAATTACACCGTAATGATTACGCGGGACATGCGGGGTCGTTCTGCTAGCCGGGATTGGTAAGTGCTTCAATCTGAAGTACCGACCGGGGTGGCGAACTTGCATGAGTTGCCTGGAGTCCGCTTCTTGGCGCCCAGGAGCCAGGCCTGTCGCCCGTTTCTTCTGCTTCTAGCACCCGCCGCTTGACGTCGTGCCAGCTTCGCGGCTGCCAGCCACGTGACAAGCCAGCCGTTTACGCGTTTCTGCATTGCGCTGCACGACTTCCTTCTGCTTGCTTTGAGCTCACTTGAGTCTCTCTTGATTTGCTTTTCTTTCTGTCGTCGCTTTCTTCCCAAGATATGAAGCGTGCGAAACGGTAACCACACCATGGCTCTGCGCATCACCACCTGGAACGTCAACGGCATTCGCAATCCCTTCAGCTATAAGCCATGGAGCGATACCCGGACGTTCAGCGCCATGTTCGACATACTGGAGGCCGATATCGTCATCATGCAGGAGTTGAAGATCCAGAGAAAAGACTTGCGGGACGACATGGTTCTGGTCCCTGGCTGGGACTGCTACTTCAGCTTGCCCAAGCATAAGAAAGGTACAGCCACTCTACGGCACCCTCACTTGGTCGCTTGCGACACCCTTGCTAATGGAGGTTGCAGGATACTCTGGTGTTGGAATATACACCCGCCAATCCATGTGCGCCCCAATCCGCGCCGAAGAAGGACTACTCGGCAGCCTCTGTCCACCAGCCTCTGACACACCCTACCGGGACTTACCCGAGGACTCGTGCATCGGTGCATATCCTTCAGACTTCCAGATTGCCGAACTCGGAGTAGACCCAGCGTCCCTGGATGCCGAAGGCCGCTGCGTCGTCTTGGAGTTTCCCGCGTTTGTCCTTTTCGGCATCTACAGCCCAGCAAACAGCAATGGGGAAAGGGACGACTACCGGCACGCTTTCGTCTGCGCCATGGACATAAGGGTCAGGAATTTGGAGAAGCTGGGCAAGAGGGTAGTTTTGACCGGCGACCTGAACATATCCCGCGAAGGCATCGACACCGCGAAGGTGGAGGAGCAGATGAGGAAGGAAGGAATGACCTGGGAAGACTACTTCGAATCCCCGAACCGGAAAATCTTCAACCAGCTGCTTGAAGGAGGCAAGGTGATGGGGGAAAGAGAAGAGGGCCGGGAGAAACCGGTGCTGTGGGATGTCTGCAGAGGATTCCACCAGGGACGGGAGGGCATGTACACGCATTGGGAACAGAAGATTAATGCTCGGCCCGGCAACTTCGGTTCGAGGATTGATTATGTTCTCTGCAGCATCGAGATGAAGACCTGGATTGAAGACTCTAATATCCAGGAAGGCTTGATGGTACCTCTCTTCTACCATTTTCCCCACATCCTTACTGAAGTCGTTCTAGGGATCTGACCATTGCCCCGTCTACGCCACCTTGAAGCCGAAGGTCGACCTACGCGGGAAGGAGATTGACTTGCGCGACATCATGAACCCACCTGGTATGTTCCAAGATGGAAAGAGACTGAGAGAATGGTCTACGAAAGACTTGACTGCTTTCTCTGGGAGACTGCTGCCAGAATTCAGTAATCGCCGAAACATTAGAGACATGTTCGCGCGCAAGCCAAGTGTTGCCACTAGCAAGAGCAATGCCGAGCGACCTACGGCCTCCTCTTCTATAGTCATCAACGAAGAGATGAATGAAACACAAGAGTCGGAACATCCGAGCGAAGAGACCTCTCAAGAAGATTCCACAAGACAAAGCCTTCCACCGCCATCAACTGGTGAATCAACTACAAGTTCAGTATCTTTGTCCAGCAACAAGCGAAGTTCGAGCAATCCACAGTCAGCTAAACCATTGAAGAAGCTGAAATCATCTGGTGCGACTTCTAAATCTCCAGCGCCATCAAAAGGACAACAGTCGCTCAGAGGTTTCTTCAAACCAAAAGAAGGTTCGTCCACATCCCAAGGCACGAACACACCTATTCCAGAGATTCCTTCGTCGACACAAGCGCTCGCATCTCCTCCAAACACGACGACAATCTCTGAAAGTGAGCAGGCTATTGAAGGCCTCACAGCCGTCATCATCTCCGACGATGCACCATCGCCACCAAAGACCTCTACGCCGAAGTCATCGCGTGTAAAGTCTCAAGGCAAACAGTCGCCTACTACGTCGACCCCGAATGGTTCTCCCAGTCTTTCGATTTTGAGTCCGTCGGCCAGGTCGGATAGATCTGAATCCATCTTCGTTGACCCGATCGTGTCGAAGGAGTCCTGGAGCAAACTATTCACCAAAAAGCCAAATCCCCGATGCGAAGGGCATGATGAACCTTGTAAGACAATGCAGACGAAAAAGCCTGGACCTAATTGCGGGCGCTCTTTCTGGATTTGCTCGAGGTGAGTCTCTTCCTATCTACTGTGTGGCATCAAGTGCTGATTCCCATCGTGCAGGCCCATCGGTCCTTCAGGCGCAAAAGAAGTTGGCACAGAATGGCGCTGTGGGACCTTCATTTGGGCGAGTGATTGGAAAAGCCCTGGATCTTGAGCATACTGCGATGCGAATACCTTGAATCGATTCTTGTCAAGAGTAATGAGCCGAATGACATGGTCTGAACGGCGCTAGGAGCTATTCTCGTAGTCTCCGGCGAGAAGCTGAAGCCAGAGCCGTAGGCTCACTGTCCATGCAGCATCCTGGAATTGAATGCTTGCTTGGACTTCAGGGCGCATGATCCCGCTATACGACTTGCGCTGAGGGCTATTCTCCTAGTCTTCGGCAAGAAGCTGTAGCCAGAGCTGCAGGCTTATAGTTTATATAATATTCTAGAATTAAATATTTATTTAGTAATCCTGCTATACTGCTTACGCTAAAAGCTATTTTCCTAGTTTTTAGTAAAAATTATATAATTTAATATAGCAATTATTTCTTATAATATAATAGTACCTCTAGATAACTATTTTAAGGTGGGGTGTATATATAAAATCCAATAAGGAGTTGGGTGAGTTGTGTCCAGTTTGGTGGGGTGCGTCGGAGTCGAAGAGACGGGGGGCTGATTTGAAGGGCCCGGCAAAAGTCGCACTCACCTGATGTCGAAGCCAACCTCGCCCGTGCTCGCCTCTCCACCCTTTCCACCAGCATTTCCAGCATTCAGACTCCGAACCAACCACCACACCCTCAATTGCGACCCTCTCCACTCTACACGCTCGAATAAACCGACAATGCTCTCCCAGCGTGCTCTCCTGCGCGCTGCGCCGCGTTTCGTGCGCACCCCGGCTGCCCGAACGACCGTCCGATCGAGGTTCTACAGCGAGGTCAAGCTGGAGGGAAACGCGGACAACGCCTTCAACCGCGAGAGGCTGGCTGTCAAGCACCACGCCGCTGAGACAAGTGGTGAGTGATGCTGTTCCTTGCCCTGTGGGGGAGATGATGGAACGTCTGGGCGGATGCAAAGAGGATGACGATATCCTCGGCTTGAGACTAGGGGGAAGGAAGAGAAGGCGAGCAAGAGCTGCTTCGTCGAATATGGCAGTCGGGTTGCTCTGTTGGAGATGGAGAACGTGACGGATCGAACCGCGAGAATATTCCCAGACGAACCGCTGCTAACACCCTACCGTAGGCCTTTGGCGCAAGCTTTCCATCTAGTAAGCCTACCTTCTTCCCTACCATCTACCTTCCCATTCTCCGGGGCCTCTCGCACTAGCCACAAGACGACTCCCTCGAGCCTGCAATCTTCGTCAAGTCGGTCCTCAGCTGGCTATGATTGAAGCTGAGAATGAGATGACATGAGGGAAGCGAGGTCGTGACCAAAGCGAGACTCAAGGGAACCAAAGGCTGAGAGGAGCAAGTGATGGGAGTGGCGGGACTGAACGAGGCAACTAGTGAGAGGTTTCTCAGTACGGAAGGCTAACGAGAGGTGTCTACAGCGTGGTCATCCCTGCTCTCGCCATTGCCAGCGCCAACGCCTACAAGCTGTGGGTCGAGCACTGGGAGCACGTAGCTCACGCGCCGCCAAAGTCCGAGCTGCCCGAGTACTCGTACCAGAACATCCGAACCAAGAACTTCTGGTATGGTACTGGCGACAAGGTGAGCCAAGTTCCTCTTTGTCTTGCAATTGGAAGAGGTGGGAGGTGGGAGAGATGAAGAAGCGTGTAGAGTTGAGCTTCTCGGAAGGACAGATGATGGATGGCTTTTCTGAAGAAGGAAGCGAGGTCGTTCAACCTCTACGTTGATGCGGAGTCCTCTCTCGTCCAACATCCTCAAGAGCACTCAAACAGCAGCAATCCTCTCCCACCCACCATCCCACCTCTCCCGCCAAAGCTCCGCTAACTCCTCCCCCACAGACCTGGTTCTGGAACGACAAAGTCAACTACCACAAGAACGCTCCTGAGGAGTAAAGGGTCTTCCTTCCTCCCACACCATCCACCAGCAGTCAAGCACGGTGGCAATTGTACAAAGATCAGATTCAGCGGGGTAGAGTGCCTTCAGCTAGGCACGGGGCGGTGGCAGCGGGCCTGAGTATGCGTTGCGAAACTGTGACATAGCTATCTCATTGAGTTGTCGATTTACCTTCCCTGATGCTTTGAACTGTGACCGCGGTTTCGTCGAGATCTCATGATAATATCCAGTAACGATATCTGCTCAGCAAGTATGTGAACGTAGCTCGAGAGAACGGGCGCGCAACACATGTACTAACTGCTCGCTGTTGCTTATATGGCCTACAAAATAAGGACATGCCACGTAGAAATCTCAACTACCACAATAGGTTCTAGGTGGTAACTTGATATAATAAGATGCATGGCTATTTCAATATTACCAGTCAACTTTTCACCGTCTTTCGGGCCACGAAGCTCGACTTCTCCCTATCGCTCGTCCCAAACCTTCTACCACCGTCCTTCTTGCATGTCAGCAGCCTAGCCTTCGTCCTTCGTATTGGCCTCTATCCTTTCAATAACGCCCTTCGTATAGGCCGCGAAGATCTCACTCCACGTGTCCCTCCAAAACGACGCCTCTCCCGTAATAGGCACCAACGCCTCGACCTGGCTCGCCGGAAGCTCTCCAATGATCTCGACAGTAAGGGCCGGGATACTACCACGGCTGTCCCATTCCCCGACGTCACGCCTGGATAGTCCTCGTCGGCGGGCCCGACTTTCCAGAACCAGGTCCACCCACTCCTCGACCGAGTCGAACAGAGCCAGCCAGAACAACTGCCGGAAGCAGTAGCCCTCGTCCGCCTTGACGTCGGGAAAGTGGTGCCCCAGATTCATGGGATAGATGGGCCGGCACCACGGCGGCTGCGCAGTCCACCCCGCATCCCACTGTGCGAGTTTGCGCTCGAGCGTCTCCCGCGGCACCGTCATGTCGAGCTTGACGCGTCGCACGAAGCTGGGAATGGTCAGGACGTGCACGCCCCAATGATTGTACACGAAGCACTCGAACTGGTCGCGGATGTCGTTGTGCTCGCAGGGCTGGCCGCGGTAGTAGCGGAACGGCTTCCACGGCGGGACGCGGTTGCCGAGGAGGACCGTGAGCGTGATCTCCTGGATGCCGGCCCAGGTGCGGTTCGAGGCGGCGGCCACTCTCTGGAAGCGGGCGTTCCAGTGTTCGAGATCCTCGATGCAGTTTGGGTCGGTGAGGGCCGCGAAGACGGTTGGGTCGCGGGGGTCAGGGAGCCAGCTGTGGACGACCGAGTCGTAGTCGGCTTGGAAGAGTTGGCAGATCCCCTGCAGGGGACAGTTCAAGACCAAACACCCCATTTGTATGTCGGACACAATGGTAAATGTCTTCTCGATGATCTTTTGCCGCAGCTCCGCAGGCAGGCTCAAGAGACGCGACGAACTAGCCATTTGCTAGCTAGAGCAACCCCGATGGTTGGCGTATGGGGGTGTGTAGAACTTGTGATTATGTGTGGTTGAAAGAGAGAGAAAGGGGCTGGCTACTTATAGTTATAGAGGCGTTTCTGCGAAGTTAGGCGGGAACTACCTCGAACCGTGGTTAGGAAACCGGCCCATCTTCAATTGGATTGACGGCCGGTTTATTAATATCACCTCTGGTTAATCCAATCAGTCCAATCCTCTAGCCCAATCAAACCTCAAGCAGAGATCAATCCAATTGATGCGATTGGTGTTGTATAAAACGGAAAGGATGGATACAAATTGGACCGGATTTTTATAGACATAACTTTGTTATATAAATTCCTGTGAGTCTAATAATAAGACGGATCGCGAACTACACCCATGGATGAGGCTACGGAGTGCCCCAGAGTAAAGGGCGACGTGAGAGTACTGTGGTGGTGTGGAGCGGTGCAGTGCACGCAGAGCACCTAGGTAGGAGGAAGATGAGGTGTAGTGCACGCAGTGCACGTAGGCAGGAGGAGCAGGCGCAGTGCATGCAGGTAGAAGAAGGATTGACTAAGAAGGCGCCCATAAGGGCGTGCAGCGCAGCGCAGCTGCGTAGCTAGCTACAAGAAGTGGTGATGGATGATGATGATGGATGCTCGCCGCAGAACGGCAGCATCGCCCCCCGCAGGCACGTGCCGTAGGCCACGTGCCTATATCTTTACAGGTACCGTTCTACCTCACCACAGTACCATGCTACCTAATTGGCTGCGCGCAATCTCCGTACTACGCAGCCTCCTTCACGAACCATGGTATAATGATGCAGCACTGCGATGTCGCCTTGTAGAGGCTTCTTTCCATCAAGCCTGGCTCGCCTGCATCGCCGCTTGCGCTCGCTCATTCACTTCTAAGAGGAGCACGAGAGGAAGCTCCGAAGAGTCGGCCCTGCCGCTCTAGCTAATTAGGAGATCAGAAGAGAGGGGGGGTTGTGCAAATAGAGAAAAGGGGGTGTGAGATTACCAACGCCATTAAAGTATTTATAACACTCTACTAGTAATAGAAATACTAAAAAGGCTTATAGAGGGTCATCCCCGCTCCTCTCGTGTGCGGCGTTGTACGTCTGCAGATAGTCCTCTGCCCACTCCGCCGCAAGCTTCTCGTCGCCGCGGAGTTTGGCGATCTCTATTATCAAGGTCTGGTAATATAGATGATACGAGAGATGCAACAGGATGCCATTTCAACAGTAAAAAGAAGGGTTCACTCGAACCCGTAGTCACACATCTCCTTCGCCGTCTTCTCTTTCGCTCTCTCCTCTTCCACCACGGAGTGTGGCCATATGCATGCGTCCTTGACTTCCTAGGGTGGGTGTACGAAAACGCGGCGCAGCCTCGAAGTACACCGGCTTTCTCTCCCTATCTATGAGCCAGCCATACTCTGGGTACGTAACCCACTGTGCAATACTGCCATCGTCGTCATCGTCGTCATCGTCGTCATCGTCGTCAAAGTTGTCCTGGGGTTCAGCAGCTCCGCTCATTGCAGCTACACGATACAAAAACCATTGCATCTCCAATAGGGCCATGTCAGGCAGCGGCCGTAGTGCTAGGTCGTCAGTTGTGAGAGATATCTCGGACCCGGAAGAGATTAGCTGGTCGGTCCGGTGGTCGTAAAGTTTTGCCAAGTTCGGTCCTTGATCGAAGGCTGCTAATAAAGGGACTGTCTGAGCTCGTACGGCTTGAGTGTGGATGTTTCGTGATAGCCAGAACAGCTGTACGTCTAAGCGCTTTTTGTCCTCTGATATTCGCATTGGCTTCAGGGCGAAATATGCCCGCTCCCAATACGCATAGGCATGTGGAGCAAGGCAGACCAGGTTCTGGCAAACCTCTGTGCCACGTGGGAAAATTGCAGAGTACCACGCATCGACTCGTTCCTTCGACCAAAATACTCCCGAAGCCTGCCAAAAGGAGGGTCCAGATTGTTCAACGCTCCTGTCTTTATACCGCATCGAGAACGGATAAATATGTGCCACCCTAGGCTCGCCCGACTTTGTAAGGATACATGTCGTCTGGTCTCCCAGACTAATATACCTTGTTGCTGAAAGGGTGATGTGGCCGTTCCGTTCCTCTCTCGTGCGACATCGCAGTGCTGCATCATTATACCGTGGTTCATGAAGGAGGCTGCGTAATGCGGAGATTGCGCGCAGCCAATTAGGTAGCATGGTACTCTCTCGTCGCCCTTTACTCTGGGGCACTCCGTAGCCTCATCCATGGGTGTAGTTCGCGATCCGTCTTATTATTAGACACATAGGAATTTATATAACAAAGTTATGTCTATAAAAATCCGGTCCAATTTGTATATATCCTTTCCGTTTTATACAACACCAATCGCATCAATCAGATCAATCTCTGCTTAAGGTTTGGTTAGCTAGAGGATTGAAGTGATATTAATAAACCGGCCGTCAATCCAATTGAAGATTGGCCGGTTTACTAACCACGGTTCGAGGTACCGCCCAACTTAGCAGAAGTGCCTCTATAACTATAAGTAGCCAGCCCTTTCTCTCTTCAACCACACACAATCACAAGTCTACACCCACCACATGCCAACCATCGGGGTTTCTCTAGCAATGGCTAATTCGTCGCGTCTCTTGGGCCTGCCTGCGGAGCTGCGGCAAAAGATTATCGAGAAGACATTCACCATTGTGTGTAAAGTAGGAACGAGGCGTTTGGTCTTGGAATGTCCCATGCGGGGGATCTGCCAACTACTCCAAGCCGATTACAACTTCGTAATCCAAAGCTGGCTCCCGGACCCCCGCGACACAACCGTCTTCGCAGCCCTCACCAACCCAGATTGCATCGGGGATCTCGCAAACTGGAATGCCCGCTTCCAGAGAGTGGCCGCAGCTTCAAACCGCACCTGGGCTGGAGTAGAGGAGGTCACTCTCATGGTCTTCAGCAACCGAGTACCGTTGTGGAAGCCGATCCGCAACAACCAGAGGATTGTCTACAAGGACTACGACATGCGCAACCGCTTCGAATACTTTGTGTACACCCATTGGGGAATACATCTGCTTCCTATCCCCAGCTCCGTGAGACACCTCAAGCTGGACATGACGGTCTCACAGGATACCATCGACCGCAAACTCGAGCAATGGGATGAAAAGTGGGGTGCGGATGCTCAGCTCATCCATCCCATCTATCCCATTAATCTGGCTCATCCCTTTGTGGGCACTAAGGCTCACAAGAGGTACTGCTTCCAGCAGATGTTCTGGGTGACTCTATTCAACTCTGTCGAGCTTTCGGCGCGTCAGATTCTGCAAGGTCGTGCGCCGGGACTACTTACGAGGGACATCGAGCAATCGGACGGCCGTGTTAGTATCCCGGGCCTCACTATTGAGATTGTCGGAGAGCTTCCGGCGAGCCAGGTCGAGGCGTTGGTGCTCATTACAGGAGTGGCGTTGTTGTGGAGGAACACGTGGAGTAAGATCTTCGCGAACTATACTAAGGGCGTTATTGAAAGGATAGAGGCCAATACTAAGGACGAAGGCTAGGCTGCTAAGATACAAGAAGGACAGTGGTAGAAGGTTTGGGACGAGCTATAGGAGAAGTTGAGCTTCGTGGCCGAAAGATGGTGTTACCTCGTTTTAGCCCTTAAAACTAGGTAAAACTGTACATTAGCTAAATTATTCGCACACCCCCCCTTCTTGGCGCTTCACCACCTTCTTGCGGCCTTAAAACCGTGCTGTAGCTCTCGCCTAATAGGACACCTTTTACCTCCACTTCATCATCGCACGAACCGTGCCAGAGGTAAATGTGAATGCCCGGAGGAAGCTCCGCGCTGATCCGAGCGACGCGCACGTGCTGTAGGGCACGCGTTGTAGGGCACGTGCTGTCCTCCACAAGCCTCACGTGAACGTCAGTCAACACGGACGCCTGTAACCGTAACAGCTGCCCCAAACAGAAAAGTAGTCGTCGTCCTCGACGACCGTGTATCTATATCCTTCTTCCAACTTACTGGTAGGCTGTCGGGGTCCTAAACAGGCTATTGGAGTCGTGAACAGGCTGTCGGTCGGTGACGTGAAGGGCTCGTAACGATGGAGGGCTAGTAAGCGAAGATGAAGGCCTTGTAAACGATAATAAAGGCCTTGTGAACAATAATGAAGGCCTTGCAAGCGCTGGAACTAGTCGTGAAAGTCGCCGGTTTCGCGGAAGTCGTGCAAGTCGCCGGTTTCGCAGAAATTGTGAAGTCGTGTAAGATAACTGTTTCGCGGAAGTTGTGCAAGTTGACGGTTTCTCGGAAGACGGCGTGGATGGCGGGGTTAGGGGTGTACGCGGTCGTATGCCTGGACGAGATCGTCGTCAATGTCCTCACGTCGGATACGCTGGCCCAGTGCTTGTCTGTCGTGTAAGCCTGCACAAGCTGTTCGCAGAAGTCCGTTGTGAGCTCTACGACAGAAGTGTTGTAGGTGACAAGCCCTTCTAACTGGTTTGAGAGGGCCGTTGTCGCGGACGAGGTCTCCGGAGTCGCCGGAGTCGCGGGGGTCGTAGACGTCGTCGCGGGAAACGTAAGCGTCGCCGGATTCGTGGACGTCGGCGACGCGCGGAAGGCTGACAAGTCCTCGAGCGTGTTTGTAGGCGAGTCTGCCGGGTTCGCAATTGTGGATAGCCGTGACAGCGCGTCAGGAACAAGGTGGTGTTTTCCGGGACGGTAGCGTACGTAGTTTTTTCGGCAGCTTCAAGTAGATGACGGACTCTCCGAACCGCCTAGCAGAGGCAAGCGACTTCTAGTTCAGTAGGCCAGTAGTTACGCTCGGCGACGGACAGCAACTTGCTAAGGAACATAATTGGTTGGATTTTGTTTCGCTTGATGTCGTCAATTAACGGGTCGCCGACAACGTGATAGACCATGACGCCGTAGCCGCGCTGTTTGGAGGCGTCGACGTCAATGTATAGCTGGCGTTTCGGATCGTAATGCACAAGAAACGTGGGCGCGTCGAACGTCCTCTGTACGGCTTCGTATGGCTGACGGAGCTCCGCACAGTCGTGAACCCGAGCTGTCTGCGTATGACGGGTTTGTGCGTGGCCGGCGACCGGGGCACCCTTAAGAAGCCGTGTTTTCTCGGCTTGCAAAGCTTCAGTCAGCTGGGCGTAGTAGCCGACGTACTGACGAAGCCATCCTGTGAGCCCTAGGTAGTGTTCGAGCTCCCGTAGACTTGTCGGGAAATCCAAGTCCTTAATTGAGGCGATCTTCTCGGACGTCGTCGTGAGTCCCAAGGCGTCCACCTTCTGGCCGAGAAGAACTAGCGACGGGTACCCTAAGTACGACTTCTCCCCTTTTAGTGGAATGCCGCAATCCACTAAAGCGTTAAATAGAAGGCGTAGGTGACGTAGGTGTTCCACTAGAGTTTGACTAAAGATGATGATGTCGTTAATGTAGGCCTTGCAGAAGTCGAGCTTATAGTCACGGATAATGCGGTCGATTTGGCGCTGTACGTATGGGGGAGGACTGCAGTAGCCCATCACGGCGACGTTGAATTGCTCCTGGCCCCTGTGAGAAACTACTGTGAACTTCTCCCGGTCGCTGTAGGCGACTGGCCATTGGTAGAAGAAGGACGCGGCGTCGACGCCGGAAATGAACGGGCAGCCGGCTACAGCGCTCGTCAGGTCTTCCTGACGGGGTAGTGGGTAGGTATCCTTCACGGACACCTTGTTGAGGCCTCGAATATCGACGACGACACGGCCCTTTCTAGCTGGTTCACGGGTCCCTGAGGCTGGGGGCTTCTGGCTTCGCGAAGTCGGCGAACATTCTTGACGTAAGTGTCGGCAGAGGGCGTTATTCGACGGAAAGCTTGCGCGACAGGTACGGCAGCGCCGCCGTAGCTAGAGGACGGCGGGCGAAGTAGCCGCGTTGAAGACGTCGACAAAGCCGTTGTCGACGAGGTTCTGGGTGTCGTATTTCTCTGGACGGGTCCGTAGCTTCGACGTGTTCGGCGAACTCGTCAAGAGCGTGCACGGCGTACGCGTCTGGTTCGGCATAGTCGTAGTAGCCGAGAAGCGCTGTCGTTTGTCGTTCTCGTCTATCTCTTCTTCGGAGGCGTTGTAGGCGCCCGGCTTATGCGACTGCCTGCCATACTGATTTCGGATGACATAACTTTGTCATATAAACTCCTATAAGTCTAATAATAACACGGATCGCGAACTACACCCATGGATGAGGCTATGGAGTGCCCCAGAGTAAAGGGCGACGTGAGAGTACCATGCTACCTAATTGGCTGCGCGCAATCTCCGCACTATGCAGCCTCCTTCACGAACCACGGTGTAATGATGCAGCACTGCGATGTCGCACGAGAGAGGAACGGAACGGCCACATCACCCTTTCAGCAACGAGGTATATAGGCAGCTTGCATCCGTAGTTTAGATCTTCAATGAATTCGTCTTGTATCTAATACAACTTGTTGCCAGCGGAACGGCTTACTACGCTCTCGCACACCACCATGTCATCTACAGGCGGACCAGAAAGCGAACTACATGATGCCCGTCGACGCGAGCTGATTCAAGCTTTGGATGATGCTTTATCAACCAACATGATACGACCAACTGCCTGGGCGTGCCTCTGGCTTTCTGATATCCAGAAGCTAGAGGACCTTCTAGCCCAAGCTCAGAGGTCATCTATTATGATAGGAGCCTTTTTGGAAGCAATAGAAACTACTACAAAAATTGTTCCCACATGTAGGATAATATAGCTCATCTTGCCGCATTAGATTGCTAGCTAATGTAATTTAGGGTGTCAACGAAAAGGCGCACCAACTGCTGCTTCTACTCCGCAGGACCCCTCTATCCCTCGCTCTGAGCCAGCCCGAGACCAGGCTAGTCTATCCTAAGTTTTATCTTAATTTATCTAATAATCTCTAGTGCTATCAGAGAGACCAAAAGAAATGTATCCTTACAAAGTCGGGCGAACCTATTAAGGTGGCACATATTTATCCGTTCTCGATGCGGCATGAAGACAAGAACGTCAAACAAACTGTCCCCTTTTGGCGGGTTTTGGAAATGTTTTGGTCGAAGGAACGAGTCGATGCATGGCACTCTGCAGTTTTCCCACATGGCACAGAGGTTTGCCAGAACCTGATCTGCCTTGCCCCACATGCCCATGCGTATTGGGCGCAGGCATATTTTGCCCTGAAGCCAATCCGAATATCAGAGGACAAAAAGTGCTTGGAAGTACAGCTGTTCTGGCTATTACAAAACGCCCGCCGTCCAACCGTACAGGTTCAAACAGTCCCTTCATTAGCAGCCCTGGATCTAGGACCGAACTCGGTAAAACTTTTCGATAACCAGACCAACCAGCTAATCTCTTCCGGGTCTGAGATATCTCTCACAACTGACGACCCAGTACTACGGCCGCTGCCTGACATGGCCCTATTGGAGATGCAATGGTTTTTGCATCGTATAGCTGCAATGAGCGGAGCTGTTGAACAACCCCAGGACAACTTTGACGATGGTGACGACGATGACGACGATGACAGTATTGCACAGTGGGGCAGGAGGTACACAGAGGATGACTGGGACATAGATATGGAGGAAGAGCCGGCTACGTACTTCGAGACTGAGCCGGAGCCGGAGCGTTTTCTTGCACAGCTCCCAGAAATTCAAGGAGACATGCATATGCTCACACTCCGTGGTGGAAGAGAAGACGGCGAAGGAAGAGACGGCGAAGGAGATGTGTGACTACGGGTTCGAGTAGCTTGAACGATAGACTGTTGAAATGGCATCCTGTTGCATCTCTCGTATCATCTATGTTACTAGACCTTGATAATAGAAATACTAAAAAGGCTTATATATAGTCATCCCCGCTCCTCTCGTGTGCGGCGTTGTACGTCTGCAGATAGTCCTCCGCCCACTCCCCCGCAAGCTTCTCGTCGCCGCGGAGTTTGGCGATCAGGGCTTTCTTAGCAAGCGACTCGCACTCGATGGAGATGTCTTCGATACATTTAGCGCCTGTTGAGAGAAGAAACGAGTCAGTTTGGGATGGAAGGTGGGGGATGAGCTCGGTGGGGAGGATGTGGATACGGGGGATATGGGAAACATAACGAGGGAAGATGTTGGGATTGGGGAATGAACTCGAAGGGGGGGATGTAAGCAGGGAACTTGGGGGTCTAGCAGGGGATGAGGTTGGGAATCCAATGCATTACAAGCTTTTGGGAGCGAGGAAGGGAGGTGAAGCGGTTGACGAGGCAGGGATGCGGTGGGTAAGGTTGGTTTTGTACTAACATTCTCGAGCTCGATCAATATAGAGGTCCGCCCTGTTGACGTTAGTAGCGCGCTGTCGGAGGCCGGCTGGTGTGCTTCCGTCTTCGAGTCCTGCAAGTCCCATGTATGCGTCCGCTTGGATGGAGTAGAGATCCGCGCATAGGCTGAGATCGGAAGATTCGAGGGCCTGAGAAAGGCATTAGTAGGAATGTCATGACGATCCTGTCCATGTGGCTAAGAACAAGCCAGCATGGGAACATATCTCCAGTCCAAGAGGTTGTTGAAGCGGGAGGGATACCTGTGGTAGTATGGAACTCAACAGTCGGCTCGCAGCTCGACACTCTCCCATCCCATTTAGTATGTGAGCGATACGTCCCACGGCCTCCCACAGACTCGGCATCAATCGCGCGCGAGAGCTCGTGCTAGCGGCCCTGAGCGCCACGCTGAACCCTTTCTCAGGCTTGCCAGCCTTTGCGAACAGAGTCGCCTTGGCGAGGAGAATGGTGACGCGTTGGTAGATGTCCGCACCCTCCTCTTTGAGAGACGCCGCCACGTCCTCTATCACAGCAAATGCATCGGAGAAGCGGCCGCAGAGTGTGAGGAAGTCGATGCGGGCGAGGCAGAGGAGAAAGGAGATCTCGATATCTTGGGCGCCGCTGGAGCTGAGCTGAGAAAGGAGATGGCTGCTGGCAAGAAGCTCGGCCCTGGGTGAGGTGAGAATTGATAACGAAGCAGATATCCACGAGGAATGATATTCCTGCACCGTTGTAAGACTTACCTTCGAATTGCTCGCTTCAGCTTGAGCAAGCCAGTGTAGTTGAAGATCAGCTGATGGAATTTCAAGGTGCGGTGTGCCTCCGGATCAATAGACTCCAGCATGGTGATTCCCTCGTCGTATCGACCTGACTGTGATACCTGCAATCATGTTAGCCGGAGATGGTGGCATTGAGAGACGGCCATACGGTATATGCACATCGGCAGAGTGCTCTGATAGTCTCTTCCATTGGGCAGTTGACATGATAACAATGTAGTAGAAGCTCGCAGTAGACCTTCGACACATGGGCCATGCCTATCCGATGATCCCTGATTAGTATTGCTTGGTCTGGCATGGAAGGAACAATCTAACAGACCTAGTCTTGTATACAGAGCAGACTGCATCAGCATTTGTCCTCCGTAGTTTGCGACGATATTTTCGCGTATGTTCAGATGGGATGCTTGGTAAATGTGCTCAATTGCACGAGGTATGGACTCGCCCTGATTACGGGATTAGCGTTGTTTTGAGGGAATAGCAATTGGAATGAACAAGCATACATTTGAGAGGCCGAGCCTGGCCTCATCCAATAACGTGGAGCTTAGGAGGTTGTACATTTTCGTCTCCTTTGCCTTCTGCTTCAGAAATGCTAATCCGTCTCGCTCGGAGCCGATCACTCCCATGTAACCAGCCTTCTTCATCTGCTTCGGGTAAGCCTTGCTCATATGATTGAGCCAGCTCAGACTAAAGTTCAAACAGCTCATATCTTGATTCTCCCTCGCCGTGGAGATAGTTTCGTTGATTGCTGCAACAGCTTCGGACCAGCAGCCAAACTCTGCGTGTAGAATAGCCATATGGAGTAGAGCATATTGATAGTGTATTTTGTTACGAGTCTGCATGGCGTAATCGTAGTATCGATGAAGATTATCAAGCGCAGATGTGTAGTCGCCTGCCCGCCACGCATCGAAGAATCTAAGTCGAATAAGCAACTTGCCACCTGACAATGATGGTTCGCTTACTTCACACGGTGAGACGATCTCAATACAGTCCCTGCAGGACCAATCATGCCGCGAAGTTGCGACCTCATGTCATCCGGTAGTCGACATCCCAAGCCTTTAGATAGTTAGCACATGACTACTTCAAGAAACCTGTAGATAGCATACGCTGAATCCGATCCACCTGATACTCTAGAATCCGTTCAATGTCATCAACGCTGACCATTTCTTCTGGTTCACTCAGCTCGTCCAGATGGCTGTAAACAGCTCGGAATAGGCTATCTCTAGCGCGCACCCCAACATCCGTAATGTTGACATCGATCCCGGGGCCAGCCATGCGTGTGGGTCTCTTCGTCCAGTCGGGAAAAACCGTCTTGTACTTAAGAAACGCCGACCAGAGCTGGATGGCGTCATGAAACTGGAGCCGTGTAAACTCCAGCTGTGCTCGTCGCACGAAAGTCCCGAGAGGCGATGTTCTTGACAAGAGCATGTGTGCGGAAGGCTCGCGTTCTCCATCATCTCGGGACGGTGAAAGTATCCCAGCAAGCTCGTGAAAGAAAGTATGAAAAGCGTCAAACGAGTTGATTTCCCACAACTTCTTCAGGAACAGGTCTAGCAGTGTCTTTCCGGGGACGCTGGAAGCGTGTGCAAGGGTAACATTGTCGAAAGCACTTATCGAGGTGACGGCATCTGGTAAGCTGGATGAATCGCGCTGGCGATAATTTGAGCGAGCAGGAGAGATGATGTGAGAGATAATGAAGGACAAGACTGGAATGGTTGCTGCAGTGGGAACAACAGCGTCGCAGTAAAGACTAGCCAGCACGAGAAAGCTGATCTTGTGGGGTGTCAGGTACCGCGACATTTTGACCAGTGAAGAAGCTCAAGGTAGATGAAGGGAGGATTGAAAGGAGTATCCTGGTGTTGACGGAAGGAGCCGTGTTCTCGAGAGTTCGCGCCTCGCGTGTCCTCTACAGCCAATCAGAGGCCTTCCTCAGTTTCACTCAACAACCGTGTATCTCATGTATTTCAATTCACATTTAGTTGGACATTTCTTAGCAGGGATAGCACCTTTGAACGTGGCGACCCCAGGCATGGATTAGTAAGGTAGGTGATGGGGTTATTACGCACGAGGTAGTTATTACGCTTCCGAACGTTAAAAAAAAGCTTGGCGGGTGCACATGAAGCTTAGACCATCGTAATAACTACCTCGTGCGTAATAACCCCATCACCTACCTTACAACTTGAGCTGTCCCAACTCTCCGAGGAGGGTCCCTTCAAATGCTCTATCCCAATACAAGTAGCACTTCAGCAGGGAAGAATGGTCCAATATATACTAGATATCATATTCAGGTGTCGGGATCATGAAGATGCCTCGTTATGCTATAACATTTCCAGTAACTCCCACAGGCCCAAGATTGACTCCAGGCGCCTCAAACCCATATCACTCGTGCCAAGCCTAGATCAGGATTTCCTCTGGTTCCTCCTTCGACGGCCTCCTGGGTCCCACGGCTCTCGGGGGTTCCGGGGAACCTTTGCTTGTACGGAAAGCCTCCTTCAGGACGTCGTCTTCATTATATGCATTCGTCGCCCACATCCGACTGATGCTGAGATCATACGGCCCCGGCTGTCTGTCAATCAAGCCAATCCCGATTGTCCGCACCTTCTGCGTCAACATCTCGCGCTGCGGCTCAACCACCTGGCCATGGTTCGTCCTCACGAATTCGCTCCACTTGATCAGCACCGTTTCCCACTCCCCGGGCGTCTTTGCGTACAGTCTGTGCTGGTGGATATCTGTGGGTACTATCGACTCTGTCTGCACGTTTATGAAGTATTTGCGGCCATCGGACTTGAATTGCACGGCGAGGTATTCAAAGGGATCTATGTCCCACAGCGACCTGCCGAAGATGGTAAAGGGCCGGTCGAGGGTCCGCCAGGCAGCGTAGCCTGTGCGCTGGACTTGCGGGCGGTCTGCAGGGAGCTTGGTTGATATCTCTCCATGGAATCGGGCGTGGGCGGGTTCTTTGGAGGTGGCGGGGTGGTGGTCGAAGTGGATAGTGGAGAAGCCGCCGATGTCTTGATCGCTCATCGGTTTGCAGTCGGAGAGGGAATCGGGCTTGTCGAAGAAGATCAGAGGGAACGGCCTCCCAGGGGATGTGAGGCCCTCGAGTTTCAACGCTAGATTAGGCGTTAGCAAATGCGCGTTGGAGCAGTTGGAGCTCTACAAAACAAACGCTCACCAATGTTAGAGACACGCTTGAACTCATCCAGACTCCGCTTGACGAAGCCCGGCGCCAGACAGCGCGGCGAGGGGATCATTGTGGGCGTAGATATCGTGGGGACCGGGGACAGTGCCGCAATTGCTTCTCTCTTCACAGAGTAGTGGCAGCATTTGGCAGCATCTGCAGCATCTGCAGCATCTGGCAGCACCACAGCGCCATTGTGCCATAATGGCGGCAACACCCATGACGCAAAATCCGAGTCTCCTGCGCTAGCCTCTTCGGGCCGGCTGTCCCGAAATTCTTGAGACGACTTGCCATACGTCCTCGTCCTTCTGCTCCCCCACGACCCGCCACACCTCCATTCCTTCGGCACCCGGCAGCAGCTTCATGATAGTCTTGTGATATCCCGCCTCCGCTCTCCTTTCCGCTTCTGTCCTCTCCATCTCTTCTCCTCGCCACTGAAGCCGTCGACCGCCGCTCGAGGGCATCATCCACTACATGACCTTCGACACCGCCTCCAAGCCTCGACACCTTCGAGACGACGCCGCAATCCTCAAGCCCAGCATCATCCCGCAATCGCGCGAGACCGGCCATGTACTCCCCCAATCCCAGCCCGCCGGGGCGCCGGTGACGGTCAAGCAATCGCCCTTCGCGAAGTCATGGGCGCATCTCATAGCCGGAGGGTAACCACATCTCCGATTCCCCCAAAACCCTGTGTGCACCCGCTAATGCTCCCCAGCCTCGGCGGCATGGCCTCCGCAACCCTCACCGCGCCCCTCGACGTCCTCAAAACCCGCCTCCAAAGCACCTTCTACCAGAACCACCTCGCCGCCTCCCGCACCGCTCGGGGCCTTCCCCCCATCGAAACCATGTCCCTCGCGCGCTCATCCCTCCTCCATGTTCGCGAGACCTTCCAGATCCTCTTCGAAGTCCCCGCCGCCGAGGGCTGGCGAGCGCTGTTCAAGGGCCTAGGCCCCAACCTCATTGGCGTGGTCCCCGCGCGCGCTATCAACTTCTACACATACGGCAACGGGAAGAGAATTATCGCGGAATGGGGCAATGGCGGTAAGGAGAGCGCCTGGGTGCACCTGTGTGCCGCAGCCAGCGCGGGGATTGTAACGGGCACAGCGACGAATCCGATCTGGTTAGTGAAGACGCGGTTACAGCTCGACAAGTCAACGCACTCCGATGGGAAGGGGCGGCAGTACAAGAATGCGCTGGACTGTACAATGCAGACGGTGCGGAAAGAAGGAATCAGAGGATTGTACCGGGGACTGAGCGCGAGCTACTTGGGCGTAACGGAGAGCACGCTGCAGTGGGTGCTATACGAGCAGATGAAGCTGCGGCTGGCGCGGCGGGAAGAGCGCGTCCAAGCGAGGGGAGGCCTGCCGACGTGGTGGGATGAGACGGTGCAGTGGACGGGGAAGCTGGGGGCGGCGGGAAGCGCCAAGTTTGTTGCGGCGTTGATCACGTATCCGCATGAGGTATGTGTCTTTTCTCTTTCCCCACTTCCTCACATTGAGGTAAATTGATACTAACTACGAATCCCCAGGTCGTCCGCACCCGCCTCCGCCAAGCGCCGCTAGAAAACGGCGCGCTCAAATACACCGGGCTCGCGCAATGCTTCAAGCTCATCTTCAAAGAAGAAGGCATGGTCGCGCTCTACGGCGGGCTCGTCCCGCATATGCTCCGCGTCGTCCCCAGCGCGGCCATTATGTTTGGAACCTACGAGGGTGTGCTGAAGCTATTAGGGACGTCGAGTAACGTCGACTAGTCGCCACCAGCACGTGTCGCTATCGACACATTCACTGAAAGTTAGGGAGGAGGAAAAGCCACGCTCCTCTACTCATATCTTGCGATATCGATCTCCGAACGCGTAAAACTCTACTTCATGTGTACTGTTCTACTTTCGCACTTAGGGGAACCGGGCATGGGGAAAGGGGTTTGGTCGGCTGTACGTTGTATGACAACACGGCGCTACAAAGGTAGGAATGTTTGTTTAGACGGCTGGGAAAACATGCTCATGCCATGATTAGGCTCTGTATCATATGAATGTACTCTACGCACGATGTCGAAAAGCATGTCGACAATGAGATATCTCAAGTCTTGAAACTCTCAACGTTTACCAGAAGCTCTGCAAACTGTTTCCCTGACTATAGATGACCGAGGGTTTCTATTGCTTTCAAATCGTCCTCTTACATTTCGATTGCATCAGCTGGAGAACAAGGGCATCCCGATCGACATTCGCAGGCCCACGACATATGCTCCTGTGGAAGCTTATTTCCTAGATCTTTTGTCATGCCATGACAGAAGGATACAACATCAGGCAAACTCCATACGTGATCAATCCGACGGCGAGACGCAGCTTTCTGTTCCAGCTGCTATGCGCGCCCTCCTGCCTTAGTTTGCAAGCCGCGACTTTCGATATGGCCCTTTTGCTTTTACGGGGAAAGAGGGTAGGGCAAGTTGAGGGGTGCATGAGTCGGTGATGGATGAGTAGAAGACGGGATAGTGAGCGAGCGTACAGTTGTACGAGCTGGACAGAGCAAAGTTGTCTTGAAGACGGATTGCGGAGAATGACTGGCGTTGTTTAAATTCATTTAGTCAGCCGGCAACTACCACGAGCACAGGCTTGTGCCAAAGGGACATCAATCAAGCAAAACAACAGCAGCCCTCTACCGTCAGCACTACCTTTAACAGAAACCACATCTCTTCCCTCTCTTCGCCCTTATGCTCGGAAAGCGTACAGCGCCCGAAGAATCAGACGTCGCCCGCTCGTCCCCCAAGCGGGTGCGCTGCACTCTCCCGAGTGCTCCAGCATCGCACTCGTCGCCCCAACAAATTCTCTACGAAGCCGAATCTCCCCTTATACAACCAGAGCCAGCGATCGCCTGCGAAGGGCCCTTTTTTTGTTCCTTCGACACCCAGCCAGAACCGCCAGAGACTGCTGAATCTCCTCGACTTCGACCTTCCTCCACCGCCCCACCCTTCAACGAACCCGCGACCGACGCGCCCTCCACCGCACCCGCAAGTCTCACAAGCGAGAACCTCACGCTCTGGGACATGTTGCATCCTCCAATGGCACAGTCTACCGCAGTCAGCGAGGCCTCCCTTTCTACCGAACCTGCCAAGGACATTAATAGACGGCAGGCGGCATATGGCATATTCATACACCGCGGTGATATCCCGGAAACGCTGCGGAAACACACCGATGAGATTGTCATGGACATGCAAAAGCCAACTACACCGTCAACTTCGCGGCTTGCCCGGAACTCGAGGAGAACGCGTGGCATGAACGAGCCGCAGGGCAAGGAGATGCTCGCGAGTGATCTGCTCTTCAAGACGGACATCGACGACGGCGAGGAGCTCATCCAGGTCCTTCCCGAGGTCATGTTCGGCCGCCACTGGTTGCCTACCGTGCCGGACAAGTGGGTGGAGAGACAATACGGTGCTCTTGAGCAACCGCGGCCCGATCATGCTGTCGGCTACATTACCCAACAAGATGCACACTCGATGGATCCGCGCTCAAAGGCGGCGCTGGAGCGGACAGAGGAGGACAAGATTACAAGGTAGGCTGCTTCCAGGCTGCAAACCAGCCGTATCGTAGCTGACATGGCATGGCAGGCACGCGTTGACTACTCAGCTTCACTTCCCGTTCCTTACTTGCCAGTGGAAGAGCCAAAGAAGCGGAGAAGGCCACTATCATGCTTCGCTACAGGGTGCGCGAGACGGTGCAGCCATCGTGCGCAGTCTCCACGACTTCTACAGAACCGCACAGCACACGCCGTCGATCGTCGACACGGCACATTTCTCGCTGACTACCGATACCGACAGTGCGAAACTTTGGGTGCACTGGCTCGAGACCAAAGAAGATGGAGGAGCGGACTATCACATGGAGCTTATCAGTCAGGCCTTCTTAAGGCCGCTGACACCTAGGGACACCGGCATGGTTGACATGTGCAAGATGCTCCGCAATATTCTTGAGTACGCTATTAGCGCAAGGCTCAACAACATCAGAGCTGCCATCACCAGTCTGCCACTTCCTCCACCGCGGCCGCGAAGCCCGAAGCGGGCACAATCAAGGAAGTCAATGTCTTCGTCCGACACCATGTCCAACTCCGCAACGCCAGTAGGGCATCCGCTCGCTACTGCGCCGAAATTCGATGCGCAGCTACCGACGCCGGAATCGTCGTCTCCACCGCTCAAAAGACTGCGGGAAGAGTAGGGGTTATAGAGTAGAATGCTAGTAGTGAGGAGGCATCTAGGAGGAATTTAACTGTCCCGCGTACGAGTGGATGCCGGATTCGGGTACCTGGACAGGACCTTCCCGCGTACAGGGGAGGGCTAATCGTACACCCCCTAACGAATAATTGTACACCCCCTTTCGAGTGATTATACACCCCTACTTTACCGCTTCTGATTGGCTCGGAGGTCCGGCAGGAGGCCTCCGAACATTCACCTTTACGTCTATCTACACGTGCATCTCTGCCGTATGTGAGCTCGTACGTGAGACTATACGTAAGGCTATATGAATCGACATGGCTATACAGCCTCTCCGTTTTACGACGCATCCTTTCCGATTTATGTAGCCTTACGTACGGCCTTACGTACGGCTATATAGCTTTTCCAATTCGTAGAGCCTCACGTACAGCCTTACGTACAGCCTCACGTACGAGCTGTATATACAGCTGCACAAATCGGGCAAGATGCACTGTAAAACGGAGAGGTTGTATAGCCATGCCGATTTGTATAGCCCTACGTATAAGCTCACGTACGGCTGTATATACAGCTGTATAAATCGAAAAGGATAAGCTGCAAAACGGAGAGGATGCATAGCCATGCCGATTTACATAGCTATACGTACAGCCTCACGTACGAGTTTACATACGGCCTCGCGTATAGCATTACTTGCAGAGAGAGACGTGAAGATAAATGCCTGGAGGAAGCTTCCGGTCCCTCCGAGCCAATTAGAAGATCAGATGAGAGGGGGTGTGTGGTTACTCGAAAGGGGGTGCGCGGTTACTTAAAAGGGGGTGTGCGTTTACCCGTCCCCTAGATTAAATAGATAGATATATAAAAAAAGGGGACTAGTAATGGCACACCCCCTTTTTCCTCCACGCACACCCCTTTTTCACTCCACGCACACCCCCCTCTCGTCTGATCTTCTGATTGGCCAGAACGGCTCGGAGCTTCGTCCGGAGCTCTATTCTCACGTGTATCCGTACTGTATGGAGAGGCTGTACAGCCTCTCCATTTTATCATGCATACTGCAGCCGTATATACAGCCGCACGTGAGGCCGTACGTACGGCTATACCTAGGCTATACGTAGGCTATATAGCCTCTTCATTTTATCACGCATCCTTTCCGATTACTGCAGCCGTATATACGCTGTTGTATTGCTACCTGCCGTGCCTACGTGCCTACAAGCATGCCAAAACTGTCAAAACCTCACCTTAATACGGCTCCTCCGCATCAAGCCTGGGCCCCCTCCATCACTGCCCGCACCTACTGAGTATTTTGATCCATATACCCCTCAATCTCTTCACCGTAGGCCGCCTCCTCATCATACGATGCAAGCTGACGGAAGAGCTCCTCACGGCTAAGCCTCGCCACCTGAGGATGAGGCTGAGACTGAGGATGAGCGCTATCCTGCCGCTGTACTGCCTCCTTCCGTGATGCTGCCTTCTTCCGTGGTGCCTTATCCTTTGAGCCAAGCGGTCGGCCACGCTTCCTCCCTGTAGGTGCATCTGTATGAGGTTGTATAGGTGCGGGCGTAGGTGCAGGCGTAGATGCTGCTGTAGGCCTAAGAAGGGCTAGATTAATAAGAGTAGGATTAATAGTTATACTAGCCGGTGTAGCCGTTGACTGAGGGGCACGCCGGACGACAGAAATAGCCTGATTTAGCCGTTGAGACGCTGCTAAGTGTCGTAGAGCTGTGCCTTGTTGTACATCCTGTTCACATCTACGGCTAGCTGTACCCATAGCAACCTCAAATAAAGATGGTTCTCTCTGGGTATTGTTGTATGTATGGTGGCCTCTCCGTAAAATAGGAGGCCGGCCCCGCCGATGCTCAATAACAGCAGGATTAAGTACATCTTCAAACGGTCCAAAAGGAATCGCCAGTTGTTGTATACCTGGCCGAGCAAACCACTAATGGTGATCTATCTTATCTGGTTGTACATAGTATACAGGATCGAGAGGATTGGCCAGCGCCTGATGTAGAGGACCGCGTAGCTTGTGCGCGCATGGTATGCTGTAGATAGAAACAAATGTATGCGTACAGTCGAGTGGGTTGTATTCATTTGACTTGGCCTTTTTCAACTGCTTCTTGAGCAGCTTCAAACCCTGCGGCGTAACTGTATGGAATAGATCACGGAATTCAAACTCTCTAACCTCATAAGAAGTTCTGGCATGCCACATCGCCCTCTGGTCCTCGTATCTAGACCGCCGGATCATATTATGCGCAGGAGATCCGCCGAAGATTCTCTACCTTGAACGAGATGGTCACTTAACGACGTGCGTGCGCAAAGCGCAAGTCCTCGAAGCGGTACGAGTATGCCACGACCTAGCGGGACATTTCGCGGAGGACATCACCATGCGCAAGATCCGGCAGCGTTTTTACTGGCCCGCGAGATATCATGACGTGCATAGGTTTTGTCAGGAATGTCCGTCATGCCAGTTTCTGGGACCCTTAAGGCCATCTCGCCACGTCCTACCGTTCCTTCGAATCCAGCCGCTGGACCTGATTGGAATCGACTACATCGGGCCATTTTCCCCATTGGGACCGAATGCGGAGCAGTACATCATCATCGCCGTAGACTACTTCAGTAGATGGCTATGGGCCCAAGCAACTCTAGATGCTACTTCTCTCACAACGCTAAAATTTCTCTTGTCAATAGTCGCGATCTTTGGATGGATGCGAGCTGTGTACTCTGACAACGGGAAACATTTTAACTCGGGTTGTAACAGCTACAACCTAGGATCAGCAACTCATACGGTTCACGGTCACCTACGTACAGCGTGGCGAGGTCCTCTGTTCAGCTACAACAGGTTTCTCTCAGCTGGGTTCGTTCCTTTCAGCTGGCCTCTATTCAGCTGAGCTAATAGACCTAGGGGGTGGGCCATTTCCTATTAGTATATATTCGGCCCGTACGGCCATTACAATACAAGCAGAGTTCACATCAATTTCAACCTGAGTAAAGCGGGATATTCAGGACTAGTCGAGTACCTCGCGAAGTGCGGGAGCTGGCTCGGTGTTAAGAATGTAGGGCACGGTCTCGTTTCGAAGAAAATGGAATAAAAGAGATGGGGCCGTAGAGATGTCGTAGCTCTGGGCCTGGTCCAGATCTGGGGTAGGAAAAAAAGTTGCACGCGGTAGTTGTGTGCTGGTGCTGCTCCGTAGGGCGAGTATCGCAGCGTGCGTGCCATCATCTCGCTCGGCAGGGCGATCTGCTTGTTACTATCAGGATCTCAAGCTGTGGCAGAAAAGTACCTTGTTCCGTGGCAAATCACGTGCCTATGCTAATGGCGCCTAACCAGATACATAAGGTGGGGGGGTGCCGAGGCTTTTGCTTACGGTGGGGTAGAATCGTTGTTACGGCCATGTTCGGGTGAAGCCCCATTCGCTAACGACTGTATAATCAGTGCAACTCCCGGCATAAGATAAAGTCAATTTACTCTTGAGGCAATAACACTGTCCTAATACATCCGCGCCACTGGGGCCCTGAATGGCGCTTCTGGGGCCTTCGCTGGCTCAACTTCGCTCATCCGCGCCGCTGGAGCTCTCCACGGCGCTCTTGAGAGCTCGAATTCGCTCATCCGCGCCACTTTGTCCTTTGGCACCAATAAACCGGCCTCTAATTCTAGCGAACCCTCCTTATCAAACTAAGCTAAGCTTCAAACAAGGGTGGTACCTGTGACTTTTTCAAGTGGCGATCTTATAAGCTGCGCCACACGTGGCTCTACTCTCCCATAATTAACCCTTCCCACTCCTATGCAATTCGGAACATTCCACGTGTGTGTGTGTGTGTGTGCGTGTTCTATTATGGCCATGCACCCTGAGGGTATGGGCCGTTACGATGCGCCAGCTAATTACATCCTGCTACACTCCGCTTTCTCCAATTCAGAAGCCAACTCTGAGACCTGCTTGTCCATTGCCTAACACCATGCTTAACATAGGAAATAAGGAAAAACAGTATAATTAGTACTATAACATAAGAGATCTGGGGTGAGAGTGGGTCGTTTATAGGCCTCGTGTCCGCAGGGCAGTTCCGGCGTTGTGCGCCTCTTCATCGGCAACGCACTGGCCGAGGCACGTGTAGGTGGCTCGCCATATAATCTCTTAGGTGGTAGTAGAGGGGACCCTCAGCTGCCTCCGTTCTTCTGCTTCATCTTCTTTTGCGCTTGCTATATCTTGTTCGCTTGGCTGTAACCGTCTAGTGACCTTTGCAAATTCAATAGTAGCCCTGACTCTGTCAATGTTTGGCCTCCATTGTTCCATCGGTCCATCAATACTCTGGCCTCCTTCGTGTCTGCTTGAGTATCCTCCTAGCGCGTACGATAAGTCTCCAAAACGTTCTCTATGTTGCTGTCTTAGTTTGGCTCTTGCTGCTTGCCATCTACTACAGGAGAAGAGGAAGTGCGGTATTGATTCTATGTGCCCGCAGTCGCATGCCGCCGTCTTACATGCCTTAATCTTGTAGAGGTATTCCTTGAGAAACGTTTTGCCTGTCCGCAGCTGCGTGAGGATTGCTGCCTCCACACTGTTCAGCTGCTGGTACAACTCTGCTGACCTGCCTAAGTGCAGTGCTGCATCAATCTTCCTTGTGAACTTGCCCGTCTCTGCCCGTCTAGATGAAATAAATCCTGCTGCAATATTGGCTCTCTTCAGTGCAAGTCGTAATAGATACCATGGTATGCCATCCCGTTGCGGTGGCTTGTCGCTTTCTTCTCTTGTTGCTGCCTTTGCCAGCTTGTCTGCTTCCTTGTTTCCCTTAATCCCAGCATGACCAGGGATCCAGTACAGCGTGATATTGGTCATGTGGAGCTTCTTGATGATGTCTGTTACCACCACTTGGCAGGCACTTGCCCTCCAACTCTGTACTGACTGCAGTGCTGACTGAGCGTCCGAAAATATCCGTATGCTAGGTGCTGGTGCTGGAGCGCCATCCCTATTGCGTGCCATACATGATGGGCCCCACGGCCAGTTGGCTGCCTCGCTAATTGCCAGGAGCTCTGTGAGATGGGCGTCCACCTGATCTGAACTTGCCACTGTCTTTAAAATGCGCGCTTGGGATGGCATTGCATATACGCCAATCCCCGCCTTGCCCTTGCGCACTGATGCATCCACGTATATATCCACCTGTCCTGGCTTATACTTCTCTACAATAGCTTGAGCTTGCTCCTTGTCTTCACAGATCACGACCTTAGGTCGGGCTACCCACGGCGGGCATGCAAATGCTTTAACCTCTAGCACTGCATCGACTTGGACATCTTCACACATCTCCGCAATTCTTATGAGTGGTGACCGGTGCTTTGTGCATAGCCGTTGCTGTTTGATCCTCCAGTGAGGATGTGACTGACCCAGTTTGTGGATTGACACCTAGAATGCAATGACCTGCTCCCGCAGCCTCTGCTCCATTAGGAGCAGACCTGCCTCTACCTCTGCCACTGATAGCGCAACAGTACGGAATCCCCTAATTACAGCCTGCGCCGTGATCCGCTGCGCCTGCTGGAGCAGCTGCTTCATTTCATGTGTCGCAATTGGGTACCACACCGGTGATGCATAGTCTGCCACTGGCAGCACTGCACTCTGCGCCAGCTGCCTGACCGCCTTAGGTTGCAGTCCCTTTATTCTGCGCAGTGCCAGCGCCACCTTAGTGGCCTTGCCTGCTTTGTCTGCTAGATGCGTCTTGAACCGCACCTCCTTGTCGAGCATTACCCCGAGAAGCTTGACCTTGTCTGTGGGCGCAACCTCATTCCCCTTGAATTAGAGCGGCATTCTACTGTCTCGGCCTGCGGCCTTGTATCGTGTGAGGTGGATGAAGGATGTCTTGGCCGCCTTAAACTGTGCTCCGCTCGTACGTTCCCACTTCTCCAGCATCGGCATTACTTTATCTTGTATGGCTCGAGTATTCTCCTCTGCTGACGGCCCTATAACCTATGCTGAGTAGTCGTTAACAAAGGCCATTGAGCTGCTATATCTTGGTGCGTTCTGCACAAGGTCCGCATTAAAGAATAGGAAGAGGATTGGAGCTAGTGCTGACCCCTGTGGCAGCCCTGCTTGCGGGAGCATCTGTACGTCTGTTGTGACGCTATTAACAAGGATGCAGGCCTTGCGGTTGGTGCAGAAATTTTGTACCCACCGCACAATTGTCTTAGGGATCTGTCGCTGCCGCAGTCTTCCAATTTCTGGCTCCGTGGCCACGTTGTTGTATGCCCCCTTTACATCAAACAGCACCAGTGACAAGGTCTTCTTTCCTCTCCATGCCTTGAACACATCCTCGCAGAGGTATAACAGTGCGTGCGTTGTTGATCTCTGCTTCCGCGCTCCAAAGTGCGTCTTGGGCAGGAGAGTGAATTCCTCTACTAGGTATGCAATCCTCTCAGCCACTAGGGACTCAAGCGCCTTCCTAAGCGTTGGTAGGAGTGAGATTGGCCTGTAGTTGTTGGCCACTGTGTAGTCTTTCCGCTTTGGCTTCTGCAGCGGCACAATCTTTGCGATTTTCTATTCCTTTGGCACCTTCCCTGTTTCCAGAGACTGGGCAAAGAGCCACGTAATCTCATCTCTAAGCACAGACCACAGTTCCCTCCATACACGTGCTGGTATACCATCTCTGCCAGGCGCCTTGTCTGGGCTAGCTCTGAATACTGCAGCCTTAACCTTATGTTTGTCAATCGGCTTACAGTATAGTTAATTGTACACTGCTAGATCCTTCTCTTGTTTACAGGGCGGTGGTGTTAGAAAGAATGCCTGGAGCAATTCCTTTCCAATCTCGTGATTTTCTGTAGCAAATTCTCCCTCTGTATCCGCCTTCTTAATTGGTGGCACTCTAGCAAATAAGCTACTTGCCTGCGAGTTAAGGAACTTGGCTGTCTTCCATATATTGTCGCTGTTGTCTAGGAACTCCTCCCAGTGCAGCTTCCTGTGCCGCCTGATTGTCCGGTGGAAGAGCCTTTTTGCCCGTGTTGCCGTATTGCGCAGCTCTGTGTCCTTTCTTCCCTGCCGCCGCATTGCGCATGCCCGGTTCCTCCAGTATGTGTACGACCTCCTTAGCGCTGTAAGGTCCTCGTTCCACCACCGCTTCATGTACGGCAACGGCTTGGCCCGCGGGCAGTGTGCCTCTAGGGCCTTGTTAACCTATGAGGTAAGCTGATCTGCCATCTTGTCAACGTCTTTGGTCTGGAAGCCTGCTTCCTTCTCTTGCTTAACTGCTTCCCTGATTTTGTCCCATGGCGCATTCTTGAACAGCAGTCTCTCTTGGTTCTCTTGCTTGTCTATGTCCATCCAGAAGCTGGTTCTAATCGCTCGGTGGTCTGATCCGTACTTATGCTCCCACACAGAGCACTTTGCCAACTCGCTTGTTAGCCCAGGCGTTGTCAAGATTAAATCAATTGTTGACGTGCGGCCTACATCGCTGACAAATGTTATCTCTCCCACTGGTAGAAGGCTCTTAAGCGAAAGCTCTGCCATGAGCTCAATGATCGGCTCGCTCTCCTCCTGGCTTGCGGTGCTGTTGATGTGGCTTCCTCCCCATAGTGGGTTGTGTCGATTAAAATCGCCCGCAATTAGCACCTCAGTGTGTGGATCGTGCAGTAGCTCTCCTTCAACTAGTCCTTTTATTATATTCATCCTGCTGCAGAGCTCCTCTAGGTTCTCGTCTTTGGTCCTTCGCGCGCACAGGTTGGGGATGTACACCGATACGATTAGCAGTCTCCTTTGGTTGATATGCGCCACTACTGCCGTGATGTCTGCCGAGTCAGCCTGTAGTTGTGTGACTGCAAGCTCTCTAGATGCCCAGATACACGATCTAACCGGTGGGTAGCGCTGTCTCCTGCCATGTGGGACAAACTTTGTCCACCGCGGATTTGTCCCCTGCAGCACCACCTGACCATCTGCAAGAAAGCAGCTAGGCTCCTGGCCTAGGATGAAGTGAAAGTCTGCTAGCGCCTTGTCATTGTGCAGTGCGTGCTGCGCCTCTCTATTCTTCCTCATGTTCGCCTGAAGGATTTGAAGTTCTCTACTCATGATGCTGGCGTGCAAGAATCCTGTCCTTTTCTTTCTCGTACTCTGGGCACCTCCGATGTGATGCCCTATGTGGGCCTTGGCAGTTTACATAGTGCAAGTTAACTGTCTCGCACTGTAAATGGCCCTCCTGCCCGCACATATCATATGTTTCTGGCCGCATGCAGTCTCTCGCTCTGTGCCCAAACCTCCTACACTTAAAGCACGCTACTGGAGTGCGTCGCTCTTTAAAAGGAGTTATAATAAGTCCTCCCCCTCCGAATGTTACGCCGTCTGACTTTAGCAGCTTCTCTGCATCCTCTTTTGTTGCCACTTTGACAACCACTGATGCATGCTGTCTACTTGGCCTTGGCCGTCCAAGCCATCTCATGGTGCACACCTCTACCCTATTCTCCACTCCAAAGCGCTCTATGGCTGACTTGCTTACTTTTCCACTATTATTGTCCATTGCTAGCAGAACCTCAATCCAGTCTACTTTAACTGCATGCCACTTTGGTCCTACAAGTCTTGCGCCTGGGATGTGCGGCTTAAGCCATTCAGCCGTTGTCTGCCGGAATGCGGCCTCTTTATCCTTTTCAACGGAGAACTTAATCACATTTGTGCTGTCGTTGGCTCGCCATACGCGGAAGTCTTTGATTGCAGCCTTGGCAATCCTCTCTACACCTCTCATGCCTTGCTCGATTGTTTGTCTGGCTGCCTCTGTGTTTGCCACCTTTCCTGCTGCTTCTTCTCCCACCCGGCTAACATCAATCACCAGTTGCCGGTTGTGACCCTTGTCCTGCTTCCCAGTGTTTGTTGTTTGCGAGAGAGTTGTCCCTGGCCCTGCCGCGCCTCCACTGGCCACGACCGATGCCCATGACTGCGTTGATGGGGGAGATACTGAGAGGACGTCGAGTTGTGCACGGAGGGAGCTAATTGTCTCCTGGAGTTCAGCGTTTTGGCTCTTGAGGTATTGTTGTTCTGCTTTAACTGCCACAAGGTCAGTACTAATGCTCTTGATGATGCTGCTTTGCTGTACTATAGTCTCTCTTAGACTTGCAATCAGCTCCACGACCTCTCCCAGTTGAGTATTCCCTCTCTCTTGTTCAGGGGAGATGGATACGCGTGCAGTTGGGAATGGCGGGAACTCATTTTGTGTTGACTCCCATTCAGTTGCTCCGGGTATGTTCTGCGCTGACCGCAGTGTTGTTGTCCGTGTCTTTAGCGACTGCTGGGCCTCTAGCACCTTTGCACTTGGTTTCCTTGTACGTCCTTTTGGGGCTGCTGGCGGGGCTAGAGGTGTTGCTGGTACGCGTTCAGGAGTTGACGTAGCCATCGGGGCTCCTTAAGCTTGCTCGGAACATTCCACAAGGGCGTGGCCAGAGCGGGTCGGCACCCTCCCTGCTAGCGCGCCACCCAGAACATCTTGAGTGCCGGCCAATCTGCTGACGCACCTGCAGAGGTACCTCGAGTGACATACCTACTTTTTGCCACCTGCACTTGCTGAAACTGTCAACACCTAAGAAGGCGACACCAAACCCTCTTGTGGAATAACCAACCCATCTAACACGATAATGTACTACGGGTGTCTCGCCTCTTCTCCATCTTGCGTCTTGCAGTATAGACCCACTCATCCAGAAATAGCCATAGCCAAAGCAGGACGAGCCACATCGAGATAATAGCTGCTCCTACCAGGCTTACCATGCTAAACCAGCGAGACAGATACCAGACTGACTCCCAATGAGCGGCCACCAACTGCTCGACCGCAAGCGCAACCTGCAGGGAATTCAAGATTGTGGAGACTAGAGCGAACACGAACAATATAGGTCCATACAGCCGCCCAAAGAAATCTCCATATTGTCCATGCACCTGTTCAAAGTGAAATTTGCGTAAAAACAGCGGAGCATAGAAGTTGAGTCGCGTTAGCCTTAGCTCGCCGTAGCCGTACCGTCTTGACACCGCTGAGTCCTCAATATGGTTGAGTTCTGAAATGAGTTGGCAGAATGATGCCCAATCCACGTCCTTGGGGATAAGACGAAGGTTGTCTTGTTGAGCAATGTTGAAATCCGATTCGTGCTGGATCAAGTAGCGGTACGTCCGCAGGCATCCAGTCGCAGCCTTGCGAATATTGCTTTGACTATCGCCCAGTCGGTCTGAACTCTCGTCTAGGTACGTCTCCCAAAACGCGTGCGATAGCAAATATCGTGGAAGAGGTTTAACGAATATGCGGTCGTGGATCCAGATCAAATGCAGTCGAGGTTCCTCAGTGACAATGATGTCACGACCTTTGACCCGTTGTCGATGTAAGGGGTTAACGTTTCCGCTGGACAGGGTCGTCATAATCCAGAGACGCGGCGCCATTATCTCGAGATCCTTGGAGCAAAACTCCTTCTCAAGGAATCGTCTCATATCAGCGGCGTTGTTGAGCAGAACCGAAGGCTGGCCGGGCAGAGTAGTCATCAGCGGTGTTCTAGGATCAAGATCGCGAACGAGCTGGTTTGCCTTAGAAAACGGAGGCATGATTGCGTGATAGAGTAATGCTAGATAAGTCGTCTCTGTGTGTGCTATAGACTCGCGAAGCACTTATATCTTCAAAGCTCGAGCAGGCTTCCAGTAGAGGGAGGGCATCGCGCCTGAGGCAGCTATGGCTCCCTTTCAGCCTTCCCCAGCCTTGCTTGGCCTCGCTGCAGGCAGACTGGCGGCTACTCCAACCCGGCATATACCAGCCTGCTGATCTATCTGCACGTCTCCCCATCCTGATCCTTGTGCTTCATCGAAACTTCAGACGCGCTGCCTCATCGAGCATTGACGGATAGATATGGTACGTTGGTGGCAACCGTGAAGCGCGCCAAGACTAATACGGAACTAGGTTCGGCCGGTTACAAACAGGGACATCGGGCTGAAAGTGCTTTGCAAGGCACCAGCGGAAGCAGCCCAGAGCACCGAGTACATCCTTCTTTTCGCTTTTCGACTTCTGCTTTAATGACACTATACTGATCTGCCTTAGCATTGTCGCAATCCACGGCCTCGGAGCCCATCCGGACGACGCTTGGTGCAAAAATGACGGCACGACGGAGGAGCCGGAATGGGTCAACTGGCTTATCGAGGACGATATGCTGCCAGCAGTAGCACCCCATGCGCGCATCATGCGATATGGATACCAGTCGGAGTGGTTTGGGAAAGAGGCGATGCAGCAGAATGTGTCGACGGTGGCAGATCGGTTGCTACGAGCCTTGCGGCGGAAAAGAGAGGTGGAGACCCTCTGTATCAGACGCAATTTCTTTGCTAAATCTGTTAGGAATTTCCGTTCCGCCCACTGCTCTTTATCGCGCACTGCTTTGGCGGGTTGGTCGTGCTAAAGGTAAGCAAGTGAGCTAAAACGGAACGCGCCCGCAACTAAGGGTTTCTAGGCATTACTGGAAGCCGAACAATACAAGAGCGAGTGGCCTGGCGTATTTGCATCGACCACTGGCCTGATCTTCTTCGGCACTCCGTTTCGAGGGGCGGAGGGAATGAGCCAAATGGAGATGCTTGAGGCGGCGCGGAGGGAATATCATGAGGATGAGGTGCAGCTGAGGGCTCTGGACATACTGCAGCCAGGGAACGTGTACCTTCAGGATGTGGTTGACAACTTCTTAAAGAAGACGCGGAGGCAGACAAACAAGACCCAGGTTGCATGCTTCTACGAGCTTAAGGCAAGCAATGTGGGAAAGATTGTGGGGAAGGAGGATCGGATGGTAGGTTCGGGAGGGACTGTGCGTCGCACTAAGGCTGACCATCTTCACAGAGATTTGTGGTGAGCCAGAGCTCTGGATGCCTCGACCTTTCCGATTCAACGAGCAAGTTCTCGCTCTCGCGGAACCACTTTGACATGAACAAGTTCGGGAACAGCAAGGAGGAAGACGAGTTTGAGGAAGACTTTCAGACGGTGAGGGACGTTGTTAAGGAGATGATTGAGGCATCTCAAGGGCTTGTGGAGGCTCGATCTCAGTGTAATTATGCTCCTTTATAGCAGGTCATATCTGAAGAGAGTTGACTGGGGCGACAGACCACGGCAAATACAAGGTCGACTTTAGTCTTACAGGCGTCCCCGTAGTAAGCCAATTCGTCCCACGCGACACCGAGATGCGACAGCTTGAGCAGTTCTTCCTCCACGACACGCCCGCAACGGACCGACGAAAGATATTCGTGGTTCATGGCCTTGGCGGTATAGGCAAGACGCAGTTAGCGGTTGAGTTCGCGCGGGAGCATCGGCGCGGATTCAGCGGGATATTTTGGCTGGACGGATCATCGGAGGCCAGTCTGAAGCAGACATTTGTTGGCATGGCGCAAAGGCTGCCATGGGAGGAGCTGACGGCAGATGGTGTGGAGATGCTGAAGCATTCGAACGTTGATGTCGACGTGGCTGTGCGGGAATGTCTCCGGTGGCTGTCCCTACCCTTAAACCGGCACTGGCTGTTGATTGTCGACAGCGTTGACCGCGAGTACGACGACAAAGACGATTCGCAAGCGTACAAGGTTGAGGACTATTTCCCTCATGCAGACCATGGGTCAATCCTAATCACGAGTCGATTAGGAAGCCTTCAGGGAGACGGCCCAGGACTTATGCTAGGAACAGTCAGCACAGAGCAAGCGGTAGCTATTCTGGAGAATAATGCTAGAAAAGTGGTTAAGGGTGAGAAAGCAGCTACGCTCGTAAGAGATAAGGGCATCATCGCTAATCTATGTTGAATAGACGCTGACATGATTCTCGAGCGGCTCAACGGACTTCCTCTAGCACTCACTCAGGCCGGCTCGTACTTGCGAGAGACGAACGTGTCCACATCGACATATGTAAAACACTATGACAGAACCTGGGAGCGTCTAATGAAAAAGCAGGGACGCTTTCGGCTGCAAGAGTACGGTGACCGAAATATCTTAACGACATGGACGATGTCGTACGAGCAGGTGAGGAGGCAGAGCGAGGAGGCTGCGTGCCTAGTCAAGCTCTGGGGATGCCTAGATTGGGGAGAGCTGTGGTATGAGCTGATTGCAGCTGCCTTGGATTTATCAGAAGTTATAAACGTTCCAAAATGGCTGCTCGATATAGCGGAGGATGAGCTCGAGTTTGCCGACGCAGTAGGTCTGCTGTCGCGATACTCGCTTGCTAATGCAAAAGAAAACACCAACAGCCACTCGATGCACTCGGTATTGCACAAGTGGTGCTCCCAGCTGTCGGAAGGTGATGAGAGGCATGATCTTTGTTGCTTAGCAGTAGGGCTGGTGGCATCAAACGTACCTTCGCAATCGGAGGTTGAGCCCTGGAGTAAGCGAAAACGAATGCTGGCCCACGTAATACGAGTGTGCAGGTGGGTAGTGGAAGATATTGCATTTGATGCGAGAGATGTTATCGAAGCTTCGGTAACGCCGTGGATGTTTCAGTCCTTGGGAGATTTACTTTCGGGCGAAGATAGGCTAAAGGAGGCGGAGGAGATGTACGATCGGGCGCTGCAAGGAAAGGAGAAGGCACTAGGAGCGGAGCATACATCAACACTCAACACGGTCAACAACTTGGGCCTTCTCTACGCGGACCAGGGACGACTAGATAAGGCGGAGGAGATGTACAATCGGGCGCTGCAAGGGTGCGAGAAGGCACTAGGAGCGGAGCATACATCAACACTTTCCACGGTCAACAACATAGGCAATCTCTACAAGGCTCAGGGATGGCTGGATAAGGCGGAGGAGATGTATAATCGAGCGCTGCAAGGATGCGAGAAGGCACTAGGAGCGGAGCATACATCAACACT